TGTGTATGCAATCATCGGTAATCCGGAACTGGTGTGTGAAGTGCCTGATGGGAGTTGTAGTTTATTTCTGAGACAGAATTGTAGTCCGAGTGGATATTTTTTGTTGTCTTGACAAACCCTGTAGAAAACACACTCTTTCATCTCTCGGACACTTTAATTAGTTTTTGCACTTTTGCATCAGACACTTTATTACAATCACCCCATTTCTCAAAAAAAAAAAAAAAACATAAAAATTGTTCATTTATAAACTGTGCTTGACACAGGTGAGTGGGCTTAACAAACTACCTGTAGAAACATTCTTCTCTCTCTCAATTTTTATATGTTACTTGCTTTCGATAAGTTGATTTTAAATAAAAGTTAACTAATTTCAGATTATTTTAATGTGTCAGATATGTAGTAATTGATTGTGGATTTATATAACCATTGACAAATGAACCATGTGTTTAATTAAAGTGCCGGATGTTGCTCTGTGACTGAATGTGAAGGTGAGCGCAGGTTTTAAGTTTGCTCTTGGCTACTGTTTGGTCTTACTCCGGAAAAGCCAGAGGGCGAGAGCTGATGCAGGAGCACTCAGGTTGTCTGGTGAGAGATTAACCGTGGTGATAGATGGCATTAAAAAACCAAACACAGGAGCCAGAGTCTGCTGTGCTACATTAAAGTTCAATATCCTGTAGAGCTGCACAATACAGAGAAAATAATGTGATTTTGTTGTTCAGTTGATAACAAGATATAACATTTCTCTAGCAAAATGTAACTTATTAACTATTTCTTGAAAAATAGTTGATTTATGTAACGATCACACTAAAATAAATAGGTAAAAGAAAATTTGTTCTGATCTAATTGAATCAGGCAAAAAACTTTATCACGATGCAAATATTTTGGCTATAACTTACTAAAAAGCTTCCCAGACATTTTGATTTGTATTCACTGTTGTCATTTTGCTTGTTTGTTACTACTCCCACCCTTATTTTTTTATTTTCAGCCTTTAGGTTTGAGGCACTAGGCTCACCATTGGGGCCAGTCTAGCCAATAGCATAATTGCACTAAATGGGGAGGCGGGTATAAAGATAATTATGCTCCATTTGATTGGTCAGATTTGCAAAAATATGCAAGACACAACTGCACGGCACATAAATAAATACAACTGATCACATCTCTCTCCAGTATGAATATTTTATGTACTGTTACTGCAATAATGATTTTTTTCTATATATATTGTGCAGCTCTAATGTCCTCCGCCAATTGATAGCTGCATACAGCAGGCACATTCTTTTTTTCTAATTCAGATTATTTTACTTTAAGCTAAATACATCAATGACCCATAAAATATTCTGAATGATTTGAAAGTTGGTAACCATAATTCCAAGTCTTTTGAACGGATTTCATCTCAGTCCACTTCAGATTGGTGTGTTTACAGAATACACAGATTGTTCTATCGCATACACAGTGCTAACTTGTTCTGTACATAGAATTATATTTCATGCAGTTATTAGAGTACATTAGAGTAGCCTTTTCAGTTAAGATTTCATGTTCAGTTCAATGTGTTGCTTGTTTGATTGTTTTTTTTTTGTTTGTAATTTTGTATTTTAAAGTTTTTGCACCAGTTTTGTTCAGCACCCAATTTGACAACTTGTGTGATTAGCTTTTATATATTCATCTTGACAAATATTGATCTCATACTTGATGCAGTGGGTAGCACAATCACCTCACAGCAAGAAGGTCGCTGGTTCGAGGCCCGACTGGGTCAGTTGGCGTTCTTTCCTCCACAGTCTAAAGACATGCGCTACGTGAACTGAATAAACTAAATTGGCCATAGTGTATGTGTGTGAATGCAAGATTGTATGGGTGTTTTCTAGTGATGAGTTGCGACTGGAGGGGCATCCGCTGCGTAAAAACATGCTGGATAAGTTGGCTGTTCATTCCACTGTGGCGACCCCTGAATAATAAAGGGACTAAGCCAAAAAGAATAAATGATCTCATTATAAAAATTAAGGCCATTAGAAGTGCCAATTATGTTGTGTAATTCTGCATAGACCTTCTTTCCTTGACATTTAACTCTTACTTTAAGCTGTGTTGATGCCTGTATGATTTCAAACAGCCAGACATAGCAAACATAAATACCATAGGAAGCAGACGAATCAGATTAATCTGTTTTTTCATCCCCCATACACACAACAGCGATAAGACTCATGTGTATGAGTGTGTACATGTATGTCTGCTCTGCCGAGTTGAACAAGGCTGTTTCTTAAAGTATTCTGCAAACATTTTGAATTGTCACATTTAAACATGTTTATACAGTTGAAGTCAGAATTATTAGCCCCTCTAAATTATTTGTTCCCTGTTTATTTTTTTCTTAATTTCTGTTTAACAGAACTATTTTTTTCAGCACATTTCTAAACATAATAGTTTTAATAACTCATTTCTAATAATTGATTTATTTTATCTTTGCCATGATGACAGTAAATAATATTTGACTTGATATTTTTCAAGACACTTCTATACAGCTTAAAGCAACATTTAAAGGCTTAACTAGGTTAATTAGGTTAACTAGGCAAGTTAGGGTAATTAGGCAAGTCATTGTATAATGATGGTTTGTTCTGTAGACTATAAATAAAAATAGCTTAAAGGGGTCTTTAAAAGGGTGTTTGAAAAAATTAAAAACTGCTTTTATTCTATCTGAAATAAAACAAACAAGACTTTCTCCAGCAGAAAAATATTATCAGACATACAGTGAAAATTTCCTTGCCCTGTTAAACATCATTTGGGAATTAATTAAAAAAGAAAAAAATTCAAAGGGGGACTAATAATTCTGACTTCAACTGCATGTGTGTGTGTGTGTGTGTGTGTACATATATATATATATATATATATATATATATATATATATATATATATATATATATATATATATATATGTATATATACTCTCAGAAATAAAGGTACGTGAGCTGTCACTGGGGTAAGGTACAAATTTGTACCTTAAAGTTCCATATTAATGCCTCAAGGATAAATATTAGTACCTAAAAAGTACAAACGTGTTCCTCTCAAAATTTTTAGGTGCAATACTTTTAAGGTAATAAAATGGACCCTTCAAGTACAAATTTGTACCTTTTATTATTGATAAATTGATACCTTATATGATTGATTAAATATTGATTAAATAAGTACATGTAAAAACTGATTGGACTGAAAATTCAAACAGTGAATGTTCTTTGCACATGTAGTGATCTATAATGGATAATGATGTGATGATGATGGACATAATTGTGTCAGAAACTACTGTTTAGTCATTTTAAACTCCTTCAATTGTCTGAATTGGTGCAGGATAATGCTGCTTTGGACTTTTATTCAGTCAAATTATTATGTTTATGCACAGTTTCACATCTTTTTTTAATAGATGATTCAGTTCTGCTACTATAACATTTCATGAATTCTCAACTTCAAACAGTTACCCTACAGGATTTCTACCTTTCAGTAAACATTAAAAGTGTGTCGAGATATCAAACTATGCAATGTTGTATATAAAAGTATTTTGTAGAGCCCAGCGGTATATACTATACTTTATTTGTGAAATTTTCTATTTAAGACTGAGAAAAAGAGTCAGATTCTTCTGAACATTCAGCTAATGTTGGTTTGAGACATTACAGAATAAATGAATGTATATTTCTTAAATAGATGTTTCAATAAGTTATCAGTAATAAGCATCATAACAAAGTTCTATTATTTCAAGCAGTAAATGGTTTACCACATTTCACACCCATCGGCAATTGTTCATTTGCTGTTGTGAGTCACTCATCCGCAGTGTGATTGCAGATTTGTAGTCTTTGTCTTTATGTGGTCTGGTTGGCCTTCATTTTGGATGATGTTTGCAGATGAAGTCATTAAGCTGTAGTCTTCACAAGTGTGTGTGTGCTGCAAAGTAAGTTACTTTCTCAGATATGCTGGCAGTCTAATGAACAATAAAGATCAACTTCAGTTTGGTCTCTATGTCTGGGCAAGTGGGTAAAGTAGTGATTTAATGTGTTATGCATTAAAAGCATTTTATTTGTGTTATATATCATCATGCATTCATTCATTACATTATTTAGGATACTAAAAACTATTTAAAGTTATTTTAGAGCTAACTTTCCTAACAGGCAAAGATTTGTCAAAATTCTGATAGTGGGATACATTTATATTTAACCATTGCATAGGGACAAATGTTGCCATTGAACAGAATGGGCCAGAAGAATTGTTTGTTTGTTTGTTTGTTTGTTTGTTTGTTTGTTTCAGTTAGTTAGTTAGTTAGTTAGTTAGTTAGTTAGTTGCCTTTGATAGTAATTAGAATGGGCCAGTCGTTTTATTATGTTAATTATTTATACATAATTATTCATAAATTATTTTTATTTATTTGTTTCATTCATTCAATTTTTGTCGGCTTAGTTCCTTTATTAATCCGGGGTCACCACAGCGGAATGAACCGCCAACTTATCCAGCACATTTTTATGAGTGGATGCCCTTCCAGCCGCAACCCATCTCTGGGAAACATTTGTTGTTTGTTTGCTGTGAGGCGACAGCACTACCTACTGCGCCACTGCGTCACTTTTATTTATTTATTGTTTGTTTGTTTGTTTGTATGTATGTTTGTTTGTTTGTTTGTTTGTTTGTTTGTTTGTTTGTTTGTTTGTTTGTTTGGTTGGTTGGTTGGTTGGTTGGTTAGTTGGTTGGTTGTATGGAAAATATCATGCTAGTAGTCCCCACAGGTTTTGTTTTGCTTTGCTTTGCTTCTTTACGTTTGATTTGTTTCGTTTGTTTTGACCATTATTAATGTTTCCTTGTGTGTCTAATGCTGTTAGTTAAACTTAAAACAAACATTCAAAAATGTTCAGCTCAGCATCTCTTTCAAGTTTTTCCTCTCTATGAGTTCAGATTGCAAATTGAATTGGAAGGAAAGTGGGTGTGTGTGGTCAGAGAAAGCCAAAGCATCACTGGCCTCCCCTCTGGACCCCTTAACCAGCTCAGTGCCCCCCTAAAGAATGGTTCAGTGCATTCCGTCAGCCTGGAGACCAGTTCCCCCTTTCACACAGCGGCTTTCAGAGTGACAGCTGCATTTGAATGAGAATCGCTCTTCATTCAACCCATTGCTGGGTGGGGAAACGTTTTTTTCGCTAACTCTGATTGGCTTAAGCCATTCCCTCTGTTTTTGTCCGAAAAGGCCAGTTGTGCCTGTAAAGGTCTTTTTTTACTTAACTTTAAACACTCACACTTTTTTTTCATTACAAACCCTCAGCCTCACACATTTACAACCTTTTTCCCTCCAAGGATTTTCTTTTTCTTAGAAAATCTCTATCCAAAGGATATTTGTGAGCTTGCATGGCTGCGTGAGTACTGTGTTTTTATTGTGTTTTACATATAAGACTTTAGATTAAAAAAAATCCAAGATTATATTGTGCTTGTAGTTGGTCTATGTAGATGCAGGTGATGTGCAAGTCATGCAGGCTTTATCTGCCAGTTTTGACTTTAAATCCTGTTTTTATCCTGTTAATTATTATCTCTGTCTTTTCTTCTTCTTCTTTGCTTTGACAGTGTTCTGATGCGCTCTTTATCTGTGAGGCATCATGATGATGGTCTAGATTTTAGGCACTGTGATGTCTGATTGTACGTCCCATGTGACAGAAAATTATTTTGTTTCAGAACATTTTTGTGGTTTCATCTGTAAATCTTTTTTGATTTAATAAAATTTTGGTTGTAGTCCTTTTATCAGTCTTTAACTTATTTCCATGGCTGTGTCTTGCATGTATTTACTGATGTAAGTAGTTTGTTCAGTGTAGTAGTTGAGTAAGTGTAGAGGGTTTTGTGGCAGCTGTGTGGGAAACAGAGGCTGTGGTATTGTGTGCTGGATCTGACCTGTCACTCCTCTCACCAGCAGCCCGCTGAAGAGCCTGTAGACTGGGGAATGCTCCTCTCTTGAGCTCATCATTCTCACACTCATGCTCACACAAAAAGCTGCCTACACTCTCAGCTTGTAACTTTTTTCTTGTTTTTAATATATGAATTAGGTGGATTTTCTAGTTTAATTGCTTTGTTTGTTATGACTGTTGTGCACTAATATCATATAAATTGTAACCTGTTATATACTTGTATATACAAAAACATTTCTTTAATTTAATTACATAATAACTATTATATGAACTGCTTTAGTAAATCATGGCAGAGATTCAACAAGTTGAAAACATTCCTCAGGGATTTTGGTTCATATTGGCATGATGGCATCTCGCAGTTGGTAGATTTTTGTCAACTGCACACCCATGATGTATATTTCCCCACTAAATTGGGCCAAAATCTCCTGCTGACTATGGAATATATATCATATATATTTATATCAAATATATCAAATCTGAGTAAATAAGATTTCCATCAAATGATTTGTTATACTAAAAGAAGTGCACAGCTTGTTCAAAACATGTCAAACAAGCTTAACGCTTTTCTTGAGATTTTTTTGGGACAACTTAATTGTCTTATGTTCAATTCACTAAAATTTGTTAGGTTAACTTAATCAGTTTATGTTGGGACTACCTGAATAAATTGTAGGAAAGCCTTTTTTACAGTTTAGGGTTGAACAATATTTGACCGAGATACAGTTATTTAAAAATCTGAGGGTTCAAAAATGTTTAAATAATGAGTAAATTGCCTTTAAAGTTGTCCAAATGAGTCAGCAATCTATGTTACTAATCAAAAGGTTACTAAATGCAATTTTGGAAGATCTTTACTTAAAATCTTAATGATTTGTAAAAATAAAAATCTAATTATGAGTCATTCAATGTATTGTTGGCTGTTCCTTTTAATTTTCCAGTGCATCTTAGAACTGATTGTGGTCACATTTGAGTATCGATAAACCACTGATGTAGGCTGTAACATTTAAATGGTGCTCAGCTGATACTAAGCAGCCCAACGTTTGCCAGAGAGACTTCCTCCACACCATTAAACCAACAACAGCCTTAACTGTTGATACCAGGCAGATTAGACCCACATTTATTTTTACAGTCTTCTGTTGTCTACTTTTGTTGAACCTGTGTGGATTGTAGCCTCAGTTTGACAGGACTGTCACTGTTGTGCTCTGCTGTTGTAGCTCAATGTTGGATGTGTTGTGTGGACTTCGTATGCAGTGAATCTTTATTTGAGTTACAGTTGCTTTTCTGCAAGCTAAAACTAATCAGCTTATTTATAGGCAGTGACATTTCAAGAAACCTTGGTTTACAGTGATTTTACTTGATTGATGCGACAAACTGTAAGCACTGTTCTATTCTATTTTATAGCTGCATTGTCTTTACATTTATGGTTGTTTTCTGAATAGCAAAGGTGCATTAAATACCATTTCAAGAGTTCACACTTACTGTAGATATTGCTTGACAACTGTTAGCAGGTTTGGCATGCTGTCCCGGGAGAGAACCCTGAGCTCGGAGATAGTTGAGCCCAGGGCTCCCGCCAGGTCCATAGAGCATGTGAGCGGAGTACGAGATCAGGTGGTTCTCGTGAGCTCCCCTTTTTAAAGCAGGAAAGGAGGAGAAAGGGGGTGGATGGGGGGTTTCTTCGGAAAACGAAGATAAGGGAGTAATATCTAGCTAGGCTATTATAAGTTAGGATAGATCTGATTGGCTAACTAATGAGTGTAGATAGGCGGCCAGCTGCAGTCAATTATATCACGTGTTCCCCTCGAAATTAGTTTAAAAACTTCACTTAAAGGGTTAGTTCATCCAAAAATCACAATTTATTATTAATTTCTCACCTTCATGTACTGTAGTTTTAATTACCTGAGACCTTCTTTCATCTTCAGAAGAGAAATTAAGATATTTTAGATAAATTCTGATAGCGCTTTCATAGACAGAAATATCCATGATATCTTTGTCCAACAAATGTCTTTGTTTAAAACACTAAAAATACTGGCAAAGAGTGAATTTACATTTATATTCAGTATGACTATTATTTTTGTTTTGTATTTGTCATATTTAGCATAATTTTACAAATATTAAAGTCAGATCATAATGCTTTTATTTCACATTTCAGTTTAGACCAGTAACTAATGAACCAATTATTCTTTTTATTGCAGGCCCCTGGAAACCAGCTGCTCATGTTGATTTTATAGCCCATAATGATGGAGAGATATTTCAGTGTTCTGCTTCTTGGTAAGTCAAACAATTTCTGCATGAACTAGAGTTTGGTGCTGATGTCTCTTTACTTTCCAAATATCAGTTAAATAGTTTTAGGTGGGATCATAAAATGACTGATGACAACACCGACAATCCCATGCGATTATCAAAGTCTGAGAAGAGTGAGGCATAAGCTCTTTTAAAAAGTGAAGTTCAAAGGCAGAGACCCCCACCCGGGAGGTCTTTCACAGTAGCTCCCACGAGAGCCCTTTTCAACACAAAACAATCCAGACTTAAGCAAATGAAAACATGACCAACCTGTTACCCCCTCTCTTCTTTAGCATTTGTGCCTGGCCTTTCTGCTTCTGAAGAGCTGTAATCAGAGGCATTGTGTTGCCTTTACTTGCTGCTTTGTGTTTCAGAATGAAAGGTATATGTATTATGAAGAGAAAACGATACACCTGCAGCCAGCACTGAAAAACAAGTGTAGGGAGAACTCTGTTGATGTTTTGCAAATACTTTGATATAACACACAAGGTCTTAGATATTTTGTGGCATTTTTATATGACGTACAAAGGTTTAATGGATAGTTCACCCAAAATGAAAAATTCTAAGCCAGGGGTGCTCAAACTCGGTCACGGATGGCCAGTGTCCTGCTGAGCTTAGCTCCAACATGCCTCAACACACCTGCCTGGAAGTTTCTAGTATACCTAGTAAGAGCTTGATTAGCTGGTCCAGGTGTGTCTAATTGTAGTTGAAGCTAAAATCTGCAGGACACCAGCCCTCCAGGACCGAGTTTGGACACCCCGGTTCTAAACCATTTACCAAACAGTTTTCTTTTACCGGTAAAAACAAAAGAAAATATTCTAAAAAAGGTTCAAATCCATTCCTACTTTGGCAACCATGTGTATGTTATATGAGGGGACGCTGGACAAAGAAGGTGCAGATGCAAATGCAGGTTTATTAACTGGATGGTCAGGCAGGCAACGGTCAACAGGGTCAAAGAGATGTATAAAGGCAATCCAGATCCAGATTTGTAGTCATTAAACAAGCAAATGGTTAGTACAGGCAGCAAGCAACATACACAAACAAACAAGGTGAGGGTCAAAACACAGCAAAGCAAGGCAAGGAAACCGCATCATAATGTTCACAGTAACAGTACAACAAGACTTAGCAAAGATGTATGTGTGTGTGTGTGTGTGTGTGTGTGTGTGTGTGTGTGTGTGTGTGTGTGTGTGTGTGTGTGTGTGTGTGTGTGTGTGTGTGCGCATGCGTGCGTGTGTGCTGTATTTAAAGTACATGTAATCAGTCCCAGACAATCCTCCGGCTGTGAGTGTGTGTAATCAGTAGAATACAGAACAGGTCCATGTGAGTGGTGCATGACTGGACCTTGTAGTCCATTTACCGGCGGATTTGTAGTTCTTTGGGAAACTGCATATTACCCCATATTATTGCAGCCGCTAGGTTGTTAATGATCATAGTGGTGTAACTTTCCAACATTCTTCAAAATAACTTATTTATCCTCTGCCAGATAAAGACTGGTGCATTTTAATTAAATTTTAATTACAAATTTGAAGTATACACGTACACCAAACATGTTCAACCCAAAATACACACACACACAAAACACTGTAAACACTGAGCAAACCAGGACCTAATATATGTATACATGTAAAATGTATATTTATTTATTTAATTCATTTATTTATTATTTATTATGTATTTATTATTTTTTTTGTAAGCAAATGATCCAAGAGTAACCCCTAAAAATGAAACAAGCACTAAAAATAAAAACAAAGGCAAATGTTGATGAAGCTTTTGCATTATACTTTAGATACTATTGACCATGTGTTAAATATACTGAATTATTTATGCATTTTATAACTATTTTGCATTAATTTGATTAATTTGCTTCTAGTCCTGTTGCCAATCCAGGAGGCACTCATTAAAGTCCAGTAAATTTCACTCTCTGATGTTAGTGTTAAAACGAAAGAAAATGAAAGCTTAATAAGAGTTACAGAAGTGGAGAAATAAGAGTGGTTTTCAATAGGGCTCTTCACAGAGAAAGGAATGAGAACAGTGCTGAGGACGGCCATTAGTTTTGACATGGGAGGGAAAGAGAGAGAGAGCGATCAACACGCTCAGTTTGGCCCATTATTCTCATATTAGCACAGCGCAATTATGAATGCATCATTTGTTATTTCATCAGGATCAATCATCAGTCTTTTAGCTAGATGACTGAATCTTTATTCATATCATAAGTACTACTCTTATAAGATTAAATGACTGCAAAAACTGACTTCTGGAAATGGAAAAAAAAAACTTTTTATAATGGCTCTTTTCCAGCAGCCTAGCCAGACAACAAGTTTAGACATCATACTGAAGGTACGCACCCAAAGTGAAGGCTATTCTGAACAAAAGTCATCAAAATTATGTCCATTATATACTTTATCGCAACTGCACCTCAAACAATCTGACATCACGAACTGAGCTGTGTCTGAAATTAAAGAGACAGGAACAGTGGGTCTGCAAAAAATAGTATGTTATATATATATATAGTTGGAATGTCAATGTCATTTTTATCGTTGACATGCAATTACAGCATCCATCAGTCACATAATGAACAGCTCCTCTTCTGTGGCCTCATGGGATAGTAAAGTGACAATCAGATAGTACTTAAAGGGAGAGAGTCTGTGATTTACTCACCCCCAGGCCATTGAAAGTGTATATTACTCATAGATAAAATCTGAGTTATTTTAAAAGATCTATAGCCTTTCCAAGCTGTGCAATGACATCCATCTGATGCACAGGGGAAACAAACACTGGTTAATAACTAAGGGCGGATGGATTGAATGTGAAGTGTCATTATTTTTAATACTATCGATAATATAAGTATCGTTACATCATAAAACAAGGATTTGTAAAAAAATGTTAAGGGGCTTTAATATAAACAACGTTTTTAGGCCATTTCTACATTCTCTCAACATATGCCTGATTGCCATTCTCATAAACATCCAAATGATTATTATTGAAGCTAGAGATTAAAATATGTTAGGCGATCATGATTTTTGAACGCTCACCCTTAATGTTTTCGTAGCGATGCGTCATGTTTGTCACATGATGTGACACACCGCTGTATGACAGATGTATCCCTTTTATTATGGTTTTCCATTTTAATAGAAAATATTCACACACTTGCTCATCATGTCATCAACTACCTGATATTCCAATAAACTCTGCGGAACTCTATGAATCACTTTGGTTTTTATTCTACTGTACAAAAGTTGATTACAATTAAATACACAGTATTTTGGATACCCAAGCTAGGTATTTTACATTAGTTCATTTTCATATTTTTCATATGACACATGTACAAGTTATAGCTCAAATGAAAGCTCTTGCCGGTGCTTATATGGTTCTAGCATTCTTTTTACTGAATTACATTCACATATCAAAAAGTTGCTAAATGAATCGCGGTTTTTCCAAGGCGCAGAAATGAAAACAATACATTTATGATCACTAAGCAACCCCAGATAGCACAGACAGCTGTGTGCTTCAGGGACATGTTTCCTGTTTTTGAGGTGATGTGCATAAGTTATCCTTTTTTATCTCTGATGTGGTCCAAACACAGTGAATAATGTTTGATCAAACAAAAGAATAGTGAAATATGAAAATATTGAGGCTTGAATAGCACCTCTCATCAGTTGGAATACAATAACTTTTGCATAGATTATAGTAGAGACATTTTTCTTTTTTCCTATGATTACAGACATGTGCAGGAACCACCAAAATTAATTACAGCACACTAGACCACACAGAACCTAAAAGGTGCACTTTCAAATTTGAGTTCATAAAAAAAATACAAAAAGCGCCTTTTTAGGTGTTTATTATAACACTGACAACACTACAGATATTTTAAACTCTTTCAATAGTGTTTTATGAAAATTCAAAGGGTTTTCTTTACAATGATAAAAAATTTGCACCTCTGCATGTGGATTTGGGAAGCTTTTAAATTCAGGCGGAAAAATCCAAGCGGAATTCCCAAAATAGCAGCAGAGTTTAACTGGTTAACAAAAACATGTGAGTGTTTTTGTTGCTTAAAAGATGTATAAATGATCTTGATTGGGATCTGTAACGTGAGATGGGCATGACCATGTTTACTTGCTGCTGCATGTTTGCCTCATTCATAAAAGCACAACATGCAGGATTTAGCATGTAAATTCATCAGTTACTCCCAAAATGCATACTAGTAAGTGGCTGGCCAGCTGTGAAGAACAGAGTGAACTTTATTGTTACTTTCACTTCGTGTACCTGATATGAATAATACACACCTGCAAATTATATTTGAATAAATTGTTAGACTTCCATAGACTTTCTTGTATTTTGCAAACTCTAAATGTATTGTTTTACTAGCACTTGTGTGTATTTACATGTCTAAAACATAAAATAAGCATTGGGTGGTTAAAAACACAGCATAATTGTGATAGTATGACACTTAGTTCTCTGGCTCAGCGCCAGCTAACGCAACAAAGCTCAGAATTTTTCACGTCATGCTTGTCAAGCTGGATAACAAGTACACACCAGCACCAGGGATAGTAGGCAGACAGGGACTGTTACGTTCCTCATATCAAAACAGAACAAAAGTAGGATTTTGTAGTGATTTACCCTGCTGTTGCTCCCTTCCTCCTCATTAGACTCCAACATGTTTGCGTTTCAGGTGCTGGATCATTGTTGTGGTGCTCTCATCATCAATTTTGCATATTAGGCCATTAACACACTTTTTTTTGTTTATTTAGTGTGAAATGCTCCCACACCTTGGATAACTAGGGTCGCACAAATTGTTCTGCCTTCGCCGCGTATCTTTCCTCTAACATTACCTCCGCTCGTTTTTTTTGCTCCTTCCTTTCTATGAGGTGCTGAACTCTGCTGGCATCAGTGTGCAGATAAGGCAGAGTGCGTTCACTCCACTCCATGCTTAATGCAAGTTTGTTAATAATTAAACATCTATGTGTTGCGCGACACAACAAATTGATTAT